TAGAACCCGACAACCTCATAAGGTAGAGACTATGTCTGATTTTAACCTTTAATGTTTTTAATGAATTTTGATCCTACAAGAAGCTGGGTCAATAGTGAGGGAAAAATTGATTTCACTCATGGTTCTCCTGCCCGACAGCTTGTCTGCAAAGATTACTACGGTAACCCAAATTGGGCTCCTTTTAGAGATTGGTATATAGCCAATTTCTCCAAAGAAGAAATTGCTAATTTCTCTGCTGAATTCTATGCTTTTTGCACTAAAGAAAATGAGACATTCTCTTTTATTCCCTGGTTTTTCCATACTCATGTAAAACATTTTATAAATGTTATTCAACGGGATTATCAACTCCTTAATGGAGATATTAAATCTACCATTTATCCCCCTCAATCTCCTTTTCTTATGAAAAACAATAATTCTTCCTTCCGCTTCTCTGCTTTTTCAAATCTTATWAAAGATAATACTCTTTCTGTTACTTCGTTACATATTAACGAATTACTTGAAAAACAGAACTATTCAAATCTTATGCTTAAGATTCTTGGAGAACAGCTTTTCTCCATAGAGGATAATATCTCTTTGATTTTACAAAAAATTTCTCAAATCGAGACAAATCAGCACAAACAAATTGTTATTCCAGCTGATATTCCCTCTTCGTCTGAAAAGGTTATTTTGACATCTAATACCATTCAGCCTCCTCCTGAAATAAAAGATTTTAAACTCAAATCTCAATCTGAGGAATTTTTAAAACAGCTTGATCAAAAGCTTTCTCACTTACACATCCAGCCCTCTATTTCCATGCTTGATCATGATTCCCAGCCTGAGTCTTCTCATCCTGAATTCATAGATGGTCAAATTAATAAAATGAAATGGGCCAAAACTCCAAACCTTAATAAATATTATTAYGGTCGTCCTACTCCTATGGATGTTCTCCATGAAGAACAGGAGTACATTATTAACAATAGTTATAATGGAAAATGCATTTATGAATGGAGCCTTGATGGTTTYACTGACAAACATATTTATAATATGGCTCATCGCATGTTCATGTATAGCACTGTTTGTAAAAACACAGGCAATAATGATAAAGCTATTGCCAAGATGATTATTGCTGGTTTYACTGGTCAACTAAAAGGATGGTGGGATAATTACATCCCCCTTGATCAAAAAGATCAAATTCTTAACTCTGTTAAGAATGAAAATGGAGAAGAGACNTATATATATATATGTATATATATTATCCCTTGTTATCGTCCATCGTCGTCATCCACCACCTTCCGCCGCCACCAACCACCATGTGCCGCCACCGGCCAACATTTGCAGACACCCCAAACGTGGAACAATCACCTACCACTATGGAAAAAAGGGTAAAATTTCTCAATTTTTTGAATATATATTAAATTTTTATATGTATGTATATATATATATATATATATATATATATATAATTATAAAAGATTAAATGGTAATACAAAAGATGACGGATATAACATCTCTAACAAAGGCAGTCTATTAAATCTTATAAGAAAGAAAAAAGTATTTTCAAAATTTGACCTAAAGTCATGATATAATCAGCTACAACTTGAAGATAGTTTTAAACCATGGACAGCTTTTACATGCTCAGAAGGACAATATGAATGGAATGTTCTTAGTTTTTGACTAAAAAATGCTCCATCTATTTTTCAAAGATTCATGGACAATATTTTCCTTCAATATGATTTTTGTTTAGTATATATTGATGATATCTTAGTTGCTAGTGAAACTGTGCAGTAACATGAAAAACACTTACAGAAGATCTTCGAAGAAATTAAAAAGAACGGTATAATAGTCTCTAAAAGAAAAATGGAATTATTTAAAAGAAAGATATATTTTTTTGGCCTAGAAATTGGCAATGGAAAAATATAATTACAATCACACATTTCTACACAAAATTTAGATTTTCCAGAAAATTTTGAAAATCTAAAGCAAATACAAGCATTTTTGGGATTAGTAAATTATGCTCGAAAATTTATCCAAAACTTTTCAAAATTAGTAGGACCATTATACGCTAAAACAACAAAAAAGAGTCAAAGACATTTTAACACAAAAAATTTAAAATTAGTAAAAATGATAAAAGAAAAAATAAAAAATATTAAACCATTAGAACTACCATTAGTTACAGACTATATAATTATAGAAGTCGATGGCTGTAAAAAAGGATGGGGAGTCGTTCTTCTTTGTAAACCTAATAAATATAGTCCCAAAGATACAGAAAAGATCTGCTCGTATGCAAGTGAAAATTTTAATAAGATAGGTATGAACTAGACAAGCTTAGATTTTGAAATCAAAGCCTTAATAAATGCTTTAGAAAAATTCAAAATATTTTTACACAAAGAATTTACAGTTAGAACACATTGTGAATCTATAGTTCGTTTTATAAAAAATATCAAAGTAAGAAAGTTAACAGAACACGATGGATTAACCTACAAAATGTTATACAAGGATGTGGTTACAAAATAAATTTTGAACATATTAAAGGAAAAAATAATGGAATAGCTGATATACTATCAAGAAATCTTAACAAATTATTTTTTGCAGATAGATAATAAAGATAAAGAAAAAAGAAAAAGAAAAGTGATACAGCCTATACAGTCAAAGCACAGTACATCTTCTATGAGCCTCTCTTCAGAAGAAGATAAG